TTATTTTTAGCTTTGTTAAATGCTCCTAGCTTCCCTTGGAACAGGGAAGCCAAGGAATGAAAATGACAACAAATGAAGTTTAGAGACTCCGGAGCTTAAGCGTTGGGCTTGCTGTTGTTCAACGTGTTGGCTAGAGCTTCAAAGGCAGGTTTTCCACCAAACCAGAGTGGTTGAGGCAACGCGGTGGGTCCAACAAATATCAGAAGAATCCTTGTTGTTTGTCCCGTGGGGTCAGTCTGATTTAAAATAAAAAATAAAAAAAATTGGCAGGCAGCATTCTGTTCTTTTCTTCCTGGACTGTTCAGCCTAAAAAGCTGTCAATATCTCTTTCATGGAGACTTTGAACAGATGCCTAAAACAGTTGCTCAAAGGAGAGAAGGGTGCATTTTTTTTAAAAAAAAATTCTTTGTCTCAAAATAGTGAAATCTAGACACATAATCATCGAAGGATGCTCAGCTCATCCTCACATTGACTGTTTCCTCTTCTTCCTCTACTGCATGGTGCGTTACCTCACACAGTTGCTTCATCCCGCCCAGTGTTTCATCTGTATATAAAAATTAAAAATTCAAACAAAAATCTGTCCTGCATGAAAAACAGGCCCCTTTTGGGCATATGGTTCATTATGCACTTTTCTTTAATTACTAAAACACCCGGGATGACTCTCTGGCCTGCCCTTCCTTTCAACTTGCAAGTTGGATCTGTTCTCCAGCTCAGAAATTTTGGAACAGCCGCGTGGGGATTTCAGCTTCGTTTCTCGTAAAATTGTAGGTGCGACGTTTCTCTCTCTCTCTCTCTCTCTCTCTCTCTCTCTCTCCTTTCTTTTCTTTTTTGCTGAAAATTCAAATGGGAAACATGTATGTTAGTTTTATTTATTTCTTTGTTTCAAAGCAGTGCTATACTGCCCTTAAATCGCATTCCCAAAACGAATTAAGCAATTAAAATAAAACTGCAAAAGCAAAAAATGATAAAAGCTGCATGAGAGAATCAACAGGATTAAAACTGGTGCATGTGAAAGAGAACTCAGCAAATCTATACATGCACCCAAATCAGAAGTTTCCTTCCTAAATGCAAAACTACGTGTAAAATATAGTTCCGAGAATTTGTCCTCCTGCCATCAGGCACTCTAGGTTTATCCTGTTCTAGTTCTAGTCAGAGACACCCACTGAAATTAATGAATTTAAGTCAGTTCTGTGCATTATAGCTGGCATTGCATACAATTCTCTTACCAGGCAAAGCAGCTGGTTTCAGACAGAGCAGAGGGAGCAACTGTCTAATGCGTTCTCCCCTGGCTATTTGACTGCTCAGAACTGTACCTGCCAATCTGGTTTAATCCCTGAAAGATAACAACTATAGGAGCCTTTTTTATTTATCTTGAAAAGCAGCGGTGGGCTGAAATGTATGGAGAGGAACAGGTTAAGGCAGGCATAGGCAAACTCGGCCCTCCAGATGTTTTGGGACTACAACTCCCATCATTCCTGACCACTGGTCCTGTCAGCTAGGGATGATGGGAGTTGTAGTCCCAAAACATCTGGAGGGCTGAGTTTGCCTATGCCTGGGTTAAGGTGAGTGCCTTTGTGAGTTGGAATAATAATAATAATAATAATAAAATAAAATAAAATAAAATAATAATAAAAAACATTAAAAGCTTTCCTAAACAGGGCTGCCTTCAGATGTCATCTAAAAGTCTGGTAGTTGTTGTTCTCTTTGACATCTGGTGGGAGGGCATTCCACAGGGTGGGTGCCACTACCAAGAAGGCCCTCTCTTAACTCTTAATCTCAGGGTTGTGGGTTTGAGCTGCACACATTGGGCAAATTCCTGCATGATGACTAGATGACCTTTGTGGTCCCTTCCAACTCTATGATTCATGTGTAGAAATACTTCCCCCTCCCCGAGTCTTCTGCTTTGTCTATAGCCCCCTCTAGGTGCTTCAGCTGACTTCCCATTGCCTGCATTGATGCTGCTGCTGACTGGGAGGAGGGGCCAAGTGGTGGCAAAGGCAGCTGATGACAACAGATTTCTTCCCCCTTTTCTTATTATGCTCTATCTCCCACCCTCTGCTATGCATAGATGCTATTCGTTTCTTTTGTTAAGACCTAGAAGATGAAAACAACTGCCTACAACATGCACCTCTGTACACAGGTAGATAATTTGAAGTTGCCTCTGTGGTGCCATTTCAACTGCATTTAGGGGAGGCATCTTTCAGTGGGAAGGAGGGTTTTTAAAAAAATTTTAATGCATTTGCCTTTCTAAAGCTTTCTAAAGCAAATCCTACATCATCCCCCCCCCCTTGGAAAAAGACATGACAATAATTCAACCCCTTGCTGCCATTGTAAGGATTTCAAGATTTGCCCAATGTACCCCTTCAGATTGGCTGAATCCCCAAACAGGGAGACGTTTACACCAGCCCTTGTGCCAACACAAAACCTTATTACTCCAGTCAATGTGTGGTACCCTCAAGACATTGTTGGACTACACCTCCTGCCATCCTTGATCACTGCAGTGGTGGACTTGGGGCTCTCAAACTTCAGTGACACCCTTTGTGTGGTGCTAAAATTCAGTGTCCCTGCCTCTCACGCTCGGTTTTACAGCACTGTTGTGGCAAAACTGGTTGCGCTACCCTATAACCACTTCTGATGGGAACTGGAGTCCAGTAACAGCTGAAGAACACCGTGTTGGCCATCCCTTCTCTAGATCCTGATCTCTTCCCTTGTGTATCTTATTTTCCTTTCATTCCTTTTGCCAGAGAAAAACTTGCGCTTTCCCCTCCCTTGCAAAGAAAACCCCCCACAATAAAACTCACAACCAAACAACTATCCTTGGCTTCATTAGATAAGTTTGGAGGGCATGCTTTTCACCAGTGTTACAGGTCCTGATTTGAATTGGGACCTGCCACGGCTGCTTTATGCAAAATAAATAAATAAATAAATAAAATTAAAAGAGATGGGCAATCAGGTAATGTGGGGGTTAGGGAGAGAACCATTTTCAGCCAGAGAGCCCCATTTCTTCCAGGGCAACCATTTGGAGGCCATATGTCATGGGGTGCTTGGGTCCAGAGGCAGAAGTGGAAAGAACACTGAACGTGATTCTTATATTTTGTACAATTTCTACAGAAACTCATACTCCCCTCTCTACCCTCCCAACAAGAAGTACTCTTCGAGTTCAAGGACAAATTGCACACAGGCGAAAGCACCGGAGGAGGGTGGCCTGGTGACTCAGGGAGGAGTACGTCTTGTGGGGGAGTCCCAAGGGCCAGATAGGTGTGACTAGCTCCACGTGGCCCCCAGACCTGAGGTTCCCCATACCCTGAGTGATGGATCTCCAATATTGGCTACTTTGGGAAGCAGAACGAACATGACTGTGGAACTCACTCTCACCAGCTTGGATGGCTTTGAAAGAGAACGGGGACAAACTCATGGCTATCAATCTCTCCCAGCCATGGTGGAGGCTAGTAATGCTTCTGAATACCAGTTGCTAGAAACCACAGAGGGGGGAAAGGGCTCTTGGGTCCTGCTTGTGGGCTTCCCATGGGCATCACTGCGAGAACAGGATGCTAGAGTAGATGTGGCATGGGCCTGATCCAAGCAGGTTCTTTTTATGCTCTTGGCCCTGAACGAGTAATGCAGAGAGATCTGCATTGGCTCCCAGTACGTTTCCGAGCACAATTCAAAGTGTTGGTGCTGACCTTTAAAGCCCTAAACAGCCTCGGTCCTCTATACCTGAAGGAGCGTCTTCACCCCCATCGTTCAGCCTGGACACTGAGATCCAGCGCCGAGGGCCTTCTGACAGTTCCCTCATTGCGAGAAGTGAGGTTACAGGAAACCAGGCAGAGGGCCTTCTTGGTAGTGGCGCCCGCCCTGTAGAATGCCCTCCCATCAGATGTCAAGGAAATAAACAACTATCTGACTTTTAGAAGACATCTGAAGGCAGCCCTGCTTAGGGAAGTATTTAGTATTTAATGCTGTATTGTTTTTAACACTTGATTGGGAGCTGCCCAGAGTGGCTGGGGAAACTCAGCCAGATGGGTGGGGTATAAATAATAAATTATTATTATTATAACAGCATGGCTCATGTCTAACGAAAGCAACCAGATAGGAGACATCCTTTGTCATGAACACTTTCCCCCAAGGTATAAGAGCTCAAGAGGAGTCAGGAAGCAGCCAACAAGAGAGAGGTTCGCATTCTTCCCAGACAGCTGTGAACGGTAGTTTATCAACTCCCCTCGCTTTGAGAATGACAGGAATGCAGAGAGTGTGCTAGAGAGCAACCAGCTCTCTCAAGTGACACAGGCAATGTCAGAAGGCGAGAGGGAAAGCAGTTCCACACCGTAAGGGGAGTTAATTCATCCAAGGAGCAGCCATATGGGAAAGGTCTTAGAAAACAAAGCTGGAAACAGAAAGGGCATAGGGTCCGGATATTCTGCCATAACCGGAATCACTCCCCAGAAGGGTCAACCGATTCATAAGTCATGGACATACAGATAGGTGTCCGAGGCTGAGTGTTTGTATTGCAATAAATCTTTAAGCTAATTACAACTTGAGTGCTGTGTTATCAAGATGGCAGCCTGGCTCCTGACATCCTTTTCTACTGTGGTTCTGCAGGTGACAGGCATTTCTTCTATCCAGTTTCAATGAGTGTTCCATCCCCCCCCCTTCTTGTTCTTTTTCTCTCTTGTTTTTTTCAACTTTCATCAAGGTCTCTCTTTTCTTGTTTGTTTACATAATTGTACATCCCTACAATGAGAATAAAATCAAAAGTAGAAGGTAACGCTAACAATTCTAACGGATGACATGGTGCACTTGGAACATGGAAACATCCAAGGTGATTATCTTCCCATGAATGCAAAAGTGGGAGAGATCAGAGGTTAGCGGAGCTTCAAGGATGCACATAGGAATGAAGAATCAGAAGCTTTGTTCTTCACACCTCCCTTTTCTTCCTTCCCCTCTTTTCTTTTCATCAAATGATGTAAATAGCCCCTTCTGTCTTCCTTTGTTTCATTCAGGTATTCGTTGTCACGGTTTGGCATTTTGATTTGTACATGGTGCCCTTGGCTTTACTGCTCCTTTTTGCTTACAACTTCTCCCTCATCTCTCCAGAGAAAGTGTCCAGCGCACAAGACCCCCAGGTAAGTTAAGTTGTGCTTAATATTTCAGGTTCTGGTTGTAATTTAGTATGGAACAGTGGTGTGTTGTTATATAGGTGAATCCAGGGATGGGGAGTTTGTGACCCTCCAGATGTTGATAGACTACAACTCCCATGATCCTTGACCACTGGTCATGAGAGCTGGGGCTGATTTGAGTTGTACTTCCTTGGGTCCCCTGGTGTCGATGGACTACAGTTCCTATCATCCCTGACACCATCAGCTTGCTGGGGCTGATGTGTGTCGGGATTCCAACAGCATCTGGAAGACGAAAGGGTCCTCACTTCTAGTTTACCTTGATTAAGGCTTAACCACTTGGTCTTTACTAGGGATGGAGGAGGAATTTGATTCAGTACACATTTAAAGCCAAATCTTTCAAATGTGCACTACGCACACCCAAACACAACTATCCTTCAAAATTCACACTTAGTTGAATTTTGCAGTGCAGTTTTCCAGCCAACAATGTCTACAGAAACACACATGTTAGAGGAAAGGGTGCATGAAAATGAAGATATCAGTGAAGATAGCACTAAGAAATGCATTATTAGTCAAACCTCTTGTTACGTTTGCTTCAGGTTGAATCTTTTCAGGTTGCATCCCGAAAGTAACGGAATGGGTTACTTCCAGGTTTCACTGCTTGCGCATGCGCAGACGCTCAGAATGACATCACACTCATGCGCAGATGCAGCGACCCACAACCCATGCATGTGCAGACGTGGGTTGCGTTCTGCTCATGATGCGAACGGGGCTCCGGAACGGATCCCGTTCACATCCAGAGGTAGCACTGTATTATATTGCAGAAAAAACCAAATTGCTGTAAAATGTGAAGAGGGGAATTTAGGATTAGAAAAATCAGAAACCCAGGAAAACTGAAATTAATAGGGCCTTCCACCCCTAGCATTCACACACATAGCTTGAATCAAAACCAAAGTTTCTCTGACTTTATTTCCCTGCCTTCATTGCTTAGGGTGCCATATTTCAAAAAGTAAAAAAAAACAGGACACCCTGAAAGTTGTTGAGCTTTTTTTATTTCCAATTCAAATAACTTTCTTGTACTAGCCACTGGCCATGACAAATCTGAATCAAAAATAAATAGGGGGGTTAAAAAGTAAAAGGGGTGTCGCGCCACAATAATGGTCTCTGTTTAGATCCCTGTGTCTCCCTTACAGTTCACTGCTATATTGTCCAAGGTCTTTTTTCTTAGCTTTTTGGCTGCCAAAGCAAAAAGAGCGACTTTAAAGTTGTTGAGTGTTTTTTACACAAATGCCCAAAAAGCGCTTTTTCTATTGATCCAGGACAAAACACCAGACGTATGGCAGCCCTATCATTGCTTGTTTTGCCAAGTTTCTTTATAACAGCCCTATGGGTTATTTTCAGCTAGGTCGGTTAGAAATGTGTGGACCTAACTTAGCCATGTCCTCTAATTTCAGTACATCTCCTATGAGTAGGACTATTGTTGAATACGGCCCTATATGTGTTTCCTTAAAAGCAAACCCCACAGGCAGCACATAGCTTGTTCGGACAAGTCTTCAGTACAAATTCAATCTATCAATTTAGGATAGTTGCTGGAGGTGTTACGAGACAGGCCTATGTTGAGCACACTCTGTCCCATAATGCATCCGTTCACTTCCTTTATTTCATTTATTTATTTCATTTAAAATTGTTTCTAAACCACTTATTTATTTATTTTTGAAATCTCTAAGTCGTGGACACTATATACAATAGCAAAACTATATCCATTAAAACCAAAATGCAACCTGAAACCCGAAAACAACAACAAAATAAGTCAAAACAAGAGATATGGGGGATTTGCAGATTTTTTTTGCAATGCAGCTGCATCCCACCTGGAACCTGTCAGATGTATTGGACTTACAACTTCCATGGGTTAGATAAGACTGGGAAGGACTCAACTGGGGCTGATAAAGAGTTACAGTCCCAAATAGATCTGGAGGGCGCCAGGAAGGTTGGAAAAGGTGGCATAATGCCTCACAAGCCTGCCAGTCCCATTTGACCCAATATGACTGTGAGATAAGACTGTGAGATATGGTACACCAATATGACTGTGAGATATGGTACACCACAGAAAATCTATCATAGTAACTTCATCCATCTTGAACACAATTGCTTGTGTCCAGCTGGTTCCATTAACATCACTATAGTCATTATATACAAAACCACAACAGATATTCTTAAAATGAGCTGCTTTTGTCATCAGTTTGAATCAAACGAAGATTAATTCGGGTCAGCTTTTAAACTTTGCTTGAGGGTTTTGCCTTCTCTTCTTCCACCTTCGGTTGAAGTAACTTTGCTTGGTACTCTTGCCCTTTTGAAGCGGCCCAAATCCTTTTCCTCAAGAGCCCTAAGGTGGCGAAATGAGGCGAGGGGGCTCTGAAGAGGAATTCTTTCCTGTGCATTAAAAAAACAAAAGTTCAGAAAGTCTGTGGAGTTAGAAAGGAACAGGATGCTTCTTCGTAACGTGCAGGGCTCTGTTTTAAAACCTGTCTGTCAAAATGCAACTCTCTGTGATTCACCTTGTGAAACTTCAAAGAGAGCAAATCTTATGAGCAACTTTATGTTACTGGATAGGACCTTGGGGGAAGCAATAATCAGTTTGGTGTATTGGTTAGTTGGACTGTGAGACCCAGGCCACAAATCCTCACTCATCCATAAATCCATACTGATCCTTGGGCTAGTGACTGTCACTCAGCCTAACCCACCTCACAGGGTTGCTGTGTGGGTAAAATGAGGAGGAGGTAGACCATGTATGCCATGTTGAGAACAATAGCAGCAACAATTATAATAGCACCGTGGTTATAATTAAGTTGTATTCAAGCATCTTCCTGCCATTTTATTTTTATTTACTTTTACTTTTCTGGTTCTGTTCAGAGTCTGCTCTCCGCCCCCCCCCCACTTGAGAGAAAAGAGTTGCAGATTGGGGCAAATGGCATTTTCAGTTAGCTGGCCATTTCAGGCACATCAAATACGAAGACAAATGGTTAGAGGCCAAGTAATCAGAGTGAAGTCCTAATCCCTACAGATGGAGCCGTAAAAACATTTAACATGGCTTTTATTACATCTGGAAAATTGAAGTTTTACTCTCTAGGTGGAATTTGGGACAAACAAGTCATTATCGAATGCAAAGGGGATAGGTTTGTATTGGGTTTTTATGGGGGATAAAATGGTATAGTGAAATCCAGCAAACCTGATGATGGCTGAGGACACAGAGTTAAAAACAACCCCTCTCCATCACTCATTCTCTGACGACACGTTGCTGTCCCACTGAAATCCCAAGGATTCTGTCCACTGATGCTAAGCGGGTGATGGATGTTGCGATTTGCCATTCGTCTTGTTGAGCACACTATTTTTCTTTACAGCCTCCCGTTCCCCATCACATACTATTTTCAAAAGTTCATTTTAGGAGGGTTCATAGGAACCTTCTTACGCCATTGAAAGCTGGAGTGGGGGTTCACACTGACTAGCCATGCCCACTTTCAGGGACTGTGTGAAAGGGACCTACATGAGGGGAAATCCCAATTAGCCTAGGCTGATTCCCTCTCACATACGGGAGGCCTTGCACATGTAAGCATGACATTTACACTGTGTAAATGGTCTCGTCACCTCACTTCAAAAAGGATATTGTGGAGCTGGAAAAGGGTTGGAAAAGGGCAAATGATCCAGGGAAAGGAGCAACTTCCCTGTGAAGAAATGCTATGACATTTGGGGCTTTCTAGTTTAGAGAAGTAGCAAGTAAGAAGTGACATGATAGTAGTGTGCAAAATTACGTACGGTGTGGTAAAAGTGGATAGAGAAAAGTTTTCTCCCTCTCTTATAACAATAGAATTCATGGACATCCAATGAAACCGAACTTTGAGGGAATCAAGACAGATACACACAAAAAGTATTTCTTTGCACAGGGCATAGTTAAATTATGGAATTTGCTTCCACAAGGGCCGGTGATGGCCACTAACCTGCATGGCTTTAAAAGAGGATTTGACAAATTCATGGAAGATGGGATTCATGGATAGGGAAAAGTATTTCTCCCTTGTGATACTTGAATTCAAGGCCACCCAATGAGCTGCATTTTGGAAGATTCAGGACAGACAAAAGAAAGTGCATTGTTAAACTATGGAATTTGCTCCCACAATAGGCAGCCTTGGCCACCAGCCTAAATGGATTTTACGGGAAATTAGACAGATTTATGGGAGATAAAGCTATCAATAGCTACTAGCCAAGATGGCTATGTTCTATCTCCACTTTCAGTATGATTATGAGTGCCACTTGCTGGGGAGCACAACTGTGGAGAGTCCTGTTGTACTCAGATTCTGCTTTCAAGGCTTCCCATGGGCATCTGGTTGGCCACTGTGAGAAGAGGATGCTGGACTTGATGGGCCATTGGCCTGTTCCAGGAGGGCTATTCCTGTGTACACTTGTATGCACCTAGGGGCATTTCATACTCCCTCCAAACCTGCAGGCAGCTAGGTGCATTGTCAGTGCACTGATACATCCATAACATGACCCCATGACTTCCTTTTGCTTCCAGATGTCATCATTCCCAACCCCTCACCAGCTTCTCCACAAGAATATCTTGAGGGGCTTTGTCCAAAGCCTTGCTCAAATCAAGATACACTGCATCCACAGCATCCCCCTGATCCACCAAGCTTTTTAACTCTATCAAAATAAAAAGGGTGATCTGTCATGACTTGCTTTTCAGAAACCCTTGCAGCTCCTTAGTAATCATGACATCCCTTTTTAAGTGATCGCACACAACTGTTTAATTTTCTGTTTTTGGACCATTCCTGTTGGAACAGTTGGAAGTTGCCTGGGTCCTCTTTCTCCCACTTTTTGAAGATGGGAACAACATTTGCCCACCTCCAGCCCATAGAATTCCCCAAGAATTCTCTAAGATTATAGATAGAAACTCTACAATTGCATCTGCAAATTCCTTTAGTACCCTTGGTTGCAGTTCATCAGGCACTGGATATTTGAATTCATTCAAAGTAGCCAGCTGTTCCTTTACCACCTCTTTTTTTCTGTTTTGGGCTCCCTCTCTGCATCATTTATTTTATTATCAACCAGTTGGGCACTATTTTTTCTTTTGGAAGAAGGCAGAGAGAAAGTAGGTATTGAACTCTTTCACTTTCTTTTCCATCACCCAATATTCTCCATCTTCTCCACACAAAGAACACATTATTTTTGTTCTTTCTCCTGCTTTGAACATAGCCAAGAAAAAACATTTATTATTATTTTTAACCTCTCTTGTAAGTCTGAGCTCATTCTGAGCTTGAGCCTACCAGACCTTCCCCCTGCAAGTGTCGGCTGCTCGTTTATACTCTTCCTTCATGAGACACCTCTTCTTCCATTTCTTATACATGCCCTTCTTAACTCTAAGCTCATCTGTAAGCTCATTTTGCAACCACACCAGTTTCTTTAGATGCACCCCACTTTTATTTCTTGTTGGAATTGTTTGAGATTGTGCCTTCAGTATCTCACCTTTAAGAAAACCCCCACCTACCATGGACTCCCTTCTCTTTGAGTATTTCTGACCGTGGAATCTAACCCAGCTTTTTGATGTCCGCTTTCTTATAGTCCAAAGTGGATGTCCGACTACACTTGGCTTTCCTTTTCCTCTGTGTAATGAATCCCAAAGGGACGTGGTCGCTTCCTCTCAAGGTCCCCACTACTTCCACCTTATTGACCAGTTCTTCCCTGTTGGTGCGGATCAGGTCCAAGATCATCAATCTCATTGGTGCTTCTTCCACCTTCTGGAAAATGGAACGCAAGTTGAATCTTTTCAAGAGCTTAGTCCTGTGCCCCGAAAATGGATTTTATTTTATTTTATTTACCAACTCAACTTTTAATTCTGCACTTCAACATTTCCTCCATTCCACTTATTGTATTTAAAAATAAATAAATAAATCTGCCTATTCAAAAGAAATGTTCCTGCTGACCTGGAGAATCTTTTTTTTATGTGTTGCTAGCAAAGAACCTGTGTTGAAATGCCTGTTACCCCTACACTTCAATCATAACCTTTCCCCCACCGCCCCCTCCCATTTTTCTTAGCAAGTGGAGTGATAATGCTGTATAGAATTTTGTATCTGATTCTTAAGATTGATTATGTGTGTGCTAATGTATTTTCTGCCCCCTAATGTTTCGGTAATGGCCCTAAAGGGAGCGAACAGCCATTGAAACAAGCAATGAGAATAGAATAAACTGAGTGTAGAAGAATTCTCAGCCTTGACATTCCAACTGGTTCATTTGTCAGAGGAAGAACAAAGCTGCTTACCGAGAGTAGAACTTGGCAATGGATTAAAATAGCATTAAAAAAAGAAAAAAACAAGAATTGAACCTTCTTGCCTTTAGAACGGTTCGGCTTGCATCTGCTGCTGATAGCTTTGTTCCAACATAAAATTGTGTCATGGTTGAGAGTTATTTCTGTTACCGTTTTCTGAACATGGACCAAAGGATGGGATGAGTCCTTGAGGATTAAACAGCAATTGTTTTAAAATGTCATAATCCAAGGTCTTAATTATTATTTTTTTAAAAGGAAGTTGCGACTCTGGAATTACACTATGTTGTGTGGAGAAAGAAATCAAATGAATTGATGATTACCAGCCATTTTTGATTAGCCATTATTGATGGACCATTATAAAGACATTGAGCTTTATCTAAGCGGGGTTTACTCAGAGCAGAGCTACTGAAAGTAATAAACCCAAGTTAATTGATTTCAAGGGTCAACTTGGAGCAGGACTGACATTGGATACAACACTCACACTAATAGCAAGCCTAGTTGAGCGAATGCCGACAGCAATGTTAGAGAGCCTGTGATCCTCCAAATGTGTTGGACTCTCCAACTTCCATCAGCCCCAGCCAGGCTGGCCAGTAATCATGGAGGATGGGAATTGTAACTAAGCAACATCTAGAGGGCTACTTGTTACCTAGTCCGGACCTATAGCACTAGAGTCAAAATGCAACTGGTGATGATCATGGCTACTAGCCATGATGGCTCTGCTCTGCTTCTATGGTTGGCAACAGTAATGTTTCTGAATGCCATTTGCTGGAAACCACATGGTGCTCTGGCCCTGCTCGAGGGTTTCCCACAGGCCTCTGGGTGGCCACTGTGAGAACAGGATGCTGGATTAGATGAGCTTTTGGCCTGATCCAGTGGGCTCTTCTCATGTTCTCAGTTGCCAGGGAGCAAAAAGCAGGAAAGGGCTAGTTGCCTTTATATATTGTTTATGGGATCCCATAGACATCCAGTTTGACCACAGTGGAATGATAGACTTGATTCACCTTTGGGCTGATCCAGCAGGGTTCCCCTTAAATGTTTAAATAAATAGAATGATATTAATTATGCTAAGCACTTTGGAATTTGGATTAATTTTCTGTTTTGTTTTTTTAAGGACTGCATTGATGTAGAGGAGGATGAAGATGACGATGACAAGGTAAGATGCAATATAGAGCAGATTGGATAAAAGCAAGTGTCCCATGTGTTCATTGCTGAGTCCATTCAGGATACTTCCAAGTTGTCATTATTTTCATTTGAGATTCGTTTGCAACATGGCAAAGGAAAGTAGCAGGGAAATGCACGAAAAAGTGTGGGATGATGCTTGATGCAACATCATTTCATTTCCCCACACGCAAACCACAATGAATGCTCACTAAACAGCCCGTGTTGTCTAATCTCTCCACTGACAAATTGGGAAGAATACCCATAAAACAGGTCATCTGGAAGTGACCTCAGTCCCATTTCTGTAGCCATCAACTTTTTTTAAAAAGCCCAAAATTAATATTATAGGGTTATAGACAACTGCATTTTACTCGAAGTAGACTCACCAAAATTATTGGACCTAAGTTAGGAATGTCTGTTAACTTCAATGGGTGGTATTCAATGCTTGTCCTGCTCAGAGTAGACCCATTGAACCTAGTAGACAGGACTAACGTTCATTTATTTTCATGGGTCTGTTCTGAGTAGGACTTGAATATTACTTATTGTGTTTCACCCCACAAAATACACACTTTTGTTCACATTTTATCCTAAAATGTACACTTTAGCCTCATAGACTTTTCTTTTGGAGCCAAGAACTGTCTCGTAAATTTCAGAGAATTGCGAAACTGCAAGACAATTGTGTTCCATCCAGGAGGCACAAATCAGGTTGTTCCATTTAAAAACAAAGACCAAACTACGTCTTCAAGTATCTCTAACACACATACACAGAGAGGCAGCAATGTTGGTCTATTGGGACAGCGGGGAATCTGTAAAGAGATGGTGAAACAATATTTTGATTCCTGGATTGGGGAACTGGATCAGACCAGCCGGCCAGATCCCAACATCCCCTGACCTCCACAAACCACTTTGACAGGGGGGCAGGCCCTACCCTACCTTCTTAAAGTAGCATTCACACCATTGCTAGATGTATGAACGACATCATTTCAGCCCTGGAATCTTTGCTGGCCATTTAGATTTTCAAGGACAGTGCTTTAGAAGAGTACTGGTGAGGTCCAAGCATACTGCTTGTTGCACAGAAACATTGGGATAATTATTACATTTTAGTATTGTGTCACCGAAACACACAAAAGTAAACTTTCTAAAATACATCCCACCCCGCAATGAAATGACTCCTAAAACTTGGAAAAGCTGTTGGCTGGGATCTGACACAGAAGGTCATGGTTTCTATCAAACGTGTGTGTGTTTTATCAAAAGTATACAGAGAAAAGAGGGGGAGAGGGAGCTTTCTTGGATTCTGTTGCATGTCAGACATAACAGACCTCGCTTCTGGGAATTGTAACACACCCTCGGAGACTAACTGTTTACGACTTAGAAACACATAGACACTTAGTTCAAAAACAGAAGAGCAGATTAACTCCCTTCCATCTGAATGATCAATCTTTAAAAATGGAAGGGTTGAGCTTCCAGCTCCCCCTTTTCCAACAGAGGAGACAGCAGCAGAAGATAACAGTGGTTCATTCCCAGGGCACTTTTCCTTTCTTGAATGCTCGCTCCATAGCATTGCCATTTTAAATGTATATTTCAACTTCTTACATAAAATTGTAAGAGCTCTGAAACTCTGCTTCTACAACAAGGACTGCATACACACAGAGGGTCTTTTTTAAAAAAGATAATTTTTATATATAACATGGATGGTTCTTATGAATCCATACACATTATCAAAATTTCCAGCTGTAATGTCCTGGGGACAGTACAAAAATGTTTTTTATCTGACACAGACAGTTGTTGCCAAGGAAGAATGTTGTTTGAGCTGTACTGTTCAGGATAGTAAAGGTAAAGGGGCCCCTGACCATTAGGTCCAGTCGTGGCCAACTCTGGGGTTGCGGCGCTCATCTCACTTTATTGGCCGAGGGAGCCGATGTACAGCTTCCGAGTCATGTGGCCAGCATGACTAAGCCGCTTCTGGCGAACCAGAGCAGCACATGGAAACGCTGTTTACCTTCCCACCGGAGTATTCATCTACTTGCACTTTGAGGTGCTTTCGAACTGCTAGGTTGGCAGGAGCAGGGACTGAGGAACGGGAGCTCACCCTGTTGCGGGGATTCGAACCGCCGACCTTCTGATCGGCAAGTCCTAGGCTCTGTGGTTTAACCCACAGTGCCACCCACATTCAGGATAGACGTATCTGCAAAGATACTTTGGAGAGTGTATCCTTAAGACCAGTTTCGTAATAAACAGCTACCATATTGCATAAAATTTATCTGGCTTTTCTGTTCCTTTTATCACTTTTGAGTTGTGAATTATTTTCTCAGCCATGGCTGAACACCAAATATTTTTACACTGTAACTCCAAGGGTAGTCCTTGTAAGGCCTTCCAGGTATGAGCCATAGCTTGTTGAATGACCATACAGTCTTAACATGTCCCTGTATCATTCAATATCCTTGTAGGAGCCAAGTGTTCATGAGCTCTAGTGCTTTGTGTTTGCTCTGTCTTTGTTCAGTGAGAGAGAATGTTTGATTTTTCAGCTTTTTCATGTGAGTTCTGGACTCCAGTCTTGAGTCAGACACAGCTGCCTGCCAAGGAAGCTTTAAAAAAGGCTCGAGGGAACTGAGCTGGTCCTGAGGTATTGACTCACATAGCATAGCTCAAAGAAGGCCTTGATCCTTGGGTCTGGAAGAGCATCTCTGAGTTTATCTGACTAAGCACCAGCTCCTGCAGCAACATATAATCTCTGTAAACTGAAGATGAGGCAGAATATATTTTGGGTAACCCTCTCCATTTGGCCCAGAGCATTTGGCCACATCCACATCATACATTTAAAGCACTATGCTACTGCTGTAAAAAATCATGGGCTTCTCCCCAAAGAATACTGGGAAGTATAGTTTCTTGAGGGTGTTGGAAGTTGTTAGGAGACCCAAATTCCCCTCTTGGAACTACAGTTTGCCGAGCTCCCTGGGAAGAGGGACTGATGGTTAAACCACTCTGGGAATTATCACTCTAGAAGGGGAGAGGCACAGCCCCCAACTCACAGCCCCCAACCCACTTCAGCCTTTGTTTCTACCTACCATTGGTGTGAGGGTCTTGGAAAACATTGGGGGGGGGGAGGAGGTAACCCTTGGTTCCCAACCCCTGCACTAGACCATCTGTATCAGGGTGCCACCAATGCTTTGAGGCCTGTGGGCGTATTTGGAATTTTGAGAGTGCTATAGCACACCATCCCCTCTTGTAAGGTGAAATTTACACCCATTGATATGCCCATTTTTGCCTGCACCCACCACTGGTTTGTGCTCCCCCACCAAAAGTTGCCCAGAAGAGAATGTGACCCTCAGGCTGAAAGAAGCACCTCCCAGCCCTTTGCTAATTAATATTTTGTCCCCTGCCAACCAATGGCAGTCTGACCTACGGCCTGTTTTAGACATTTCCATAGAAAAAGTTTTTCATCCATCCCTATGTGTGGGGGATATTTAGTATCTTGTAGTAAAGCTGAGGGATGTGGGTGGCACTGTGGGTTAAACCGCAGAGCCTTGGACTTGCCAATCAGAAGGTCGGCAGTTCGAATCCCCGCGACAGGGTGATCTCCCGTTGCTTGGTCCCTGCTCTTGCCCACCTAGCAGTTCAAAAGCACGTCAAAGTGCGAGTAGATAAATAGGTACCGCTCTGGTGGGAAAGTAAACGGCGTTTCCGTGCGCTGCTCTGGTTCGCCAGAAGCGGCTTTGTCATGCTGGCCACATGACCCGGAAGCTGTACGCCGGCTCCCTCGGCCAATAAAGCGAGATGAGCACCACAACCCCAGAGTTGGTCATGACTGGACCTAATGGCCAGGGGTCCCTTTACCTTTTCTAAAGCTGAACAATAGGAATCCTAGGGCAGCTTACAGTGAAAATGTTAGAAAACTATAAAGCAAATATATTATAATGCATGAAACTATAAACAAATATATTACATACCAGATACCAATTAAACAACCTAAACATTTTCATGTTGGCCGGGGAAGTTTATTTAAGCATACATTAAAAAGCTGATTGCATTGATCAGTTTTCAACCTGTCATCTAATTCACTTGCACTTCATCCAAACTTCCTGGGGATATGGGCAAGGGAACGCCAACCCACAGTCCAGCTTCACTTACAAAACCAGAATAACTTCTTAGCTTTGACTTCCCAAAAGGGGATAGGAGTGCCCCTTAGCTGGAGGACAGTGCTGAGTTTTCGTCCATCCTATATAAAGCAGCAAATTGGATTTTAGTGTCATTTCTCATTTTCCCGATCTTAAATTTGCCTTTCTTCAGGAGACTTGAGCACAAAACCACCTGATACTGTAAAATCAGCTCCAGAAGCTTTTGGATCTAAATTCAAAAGGCCACTGATATTGAAGGACATAACTCACCTAGCCCACTAATTTCATTGGGTCTATTCTGAGTAAAATTTAGCTGGATACAACCTATACTTTTCTTGGTGGGTGTGGCCAACTTAGCCTTTCATTGCTGATGGTTGTCTTGATCTTTCATCTACATCAAGCGGAATCAAGTGGAATTTTCTTTAATTGAGACTTGAGAAACTGTGTTTATGATGTCACCGAGATACACCCTGTATTGAATGATCCCTGGCTGTAGCATAACTTTTTCTTTACCAAAACAACAACTACCAAATATTGAAATCTGTTAAAACTACCATTGTGCCCTACGCTCCAACTTGAGTTGTTTGGAAGCTACTCTCAGCATGGCTGTCCAGCCATAGGCCCAATTAACCCTCTCACCAAAGTCTTTAATCCATCCTGTTTTCCTGGTGGAGCCTGTACAGATAACCCCAATTTTCTCTGCTTCCCGTTCTCCAGGGGGCTAGCTCTGCAGAGGCTCATTTTATTTATTAAATATATTTTTAGACAGCTTTGCAGGCAATGTGCATAACCCTGTCTCTAGGGTCAGAGGTGCTGAAAGTGGGACACACTGTTGCACAATGTCACAAAACCTTGGCCTCTTGGAGTGAACACCCAGCGTGTTCATTGTAAGCCATTGGGTGATGGGTGCTTGACAAACGTTAGATGTTGAACATTTTGGCCTCCCTTGGGCAAGAGCTACACATCTTATTCATTTTCCAAGTTCAAGCTGAGGTGAATTACTCAGACACAAAAGCCTTTAAATTCCGACTCTGTTCAACTTTCCTCCACCCCTCCCTTAGTTCTTTTCCTCTGACATGCTTAATCTTCACCAAGACCCTCTTTTGTAGTTTTGCTTAAGCAATTAATGGAGAAGCAAGGTCTTTTCTTAGCTCAGAATATGCAGGGAAGATTTTAAGCAACACACTGATCATGTAATTAATTCTCAGTTGTAAATTCGTTTTGATGGTTTTAATGCTTTCCCAGAGGAAGAGGGCTGCTTTTATTCTACACCGAGTAGCACAGCCGGGTGAGAAACAGTTGAAGTAAGAAAGGGGCTGTGAAGAAAAAGGGGTCTCCCTCTGCTTAGTTCAGGATGAGAAGGAAAGGTTGAGAGGACAGATTTGTCATACAGGCAGGGAATTTTCGCCTTAATTTTAAACAAAGGCTTCTGAGCTCAGAGTATCAAGTCACTGGTGCCCATCTGTATGTGTTTCTTCAGTGAGCCAGTTAGAAATTGGCTTAAGAGGACCACGTTGCCAAAGAAGTTGCAATCAAAATAATAATATTCACCAAAAGAAGTGGAATGCAGAACAACTGGAGTGAAATGGATTGTTCAATACAATGCAGCCTCGGGACTCTTACCAAAATGCACATTGTGTGAAGCTGCCCTGGTATCTAGTCCAGAAGCTTCGACTAGTGCAGAATGCAGTAGACAGACTGCTCAAAGGGGCAGGTTACTGACAATGGGCTACTCCACGGTTGACACAGCTGCACTGTTTGCCGATTTGCTATTGGGTCTGGTTCAAGGTTCTTGTGTTAATTCACAAAGCTCTAAACAAGTTGGACCCAAAGTATCTTAAGGAATGTATAATTCCTTATGCTCCACTTCAACCACTGATTTCCTCTGATGAGGCACTTCTTGTGGTTTCCTACACCCCTAAGGTTCAGTCAACCTTTGTTAGGAGCCAAGTGTGGCAGGCCCTGCCCTGTAGAAGTCCCTACCCACAGCCACTGGACAGGATTCATCCGTGTCTTCTTTTAGAACTTCTCTGAAAACTATAGTTTTGACATGCCTTTGCAATATTCTTTTTCTTTTTAAGAACGGTATAATCTATGTTGTATACTTGCATGAAAGAACGGTATAGTCTATGTTGTATACTTGCATGAAGTGCAAATTATAAATGCTTAGGTAAATAAATAAAATGCAGTGTAATCCAAGAAAAGACAGGCAAACCCATAGGCTTAAACTTTCCCCTGCCTAACCATGTACAAATATGAGGCTTATGTCCAATTTTAAAAGTGTATGGGAGACAGATCTTCAGTCTTGCAGCTTATTTCTAGCCCCTAGACCAGAGCTTTCCAAACTTTTCATGTTGGAGACACACTTTTTAGACATGCATCATTTCTTGACACAATAATTATGTTTATTAGCAAACCAGAGGTTAAACTAACCCCTTTCCAGCCCCAGGAGAAGCACGGAGAGCATTCACGCAACACACCTACATACTGCAGCCAACACACTAATGTGTTACAACACACAGTTTGGAAATCTCCACCCTAGGCCTCTACTAGGAGAGCAGAGTGGTCATGTAAGAATACAGTAGTTTCCCACCACTTTATAGTTTAGGCCAGAAGCTAACCCAGATTAACTAGCAGTCTACTCATTTGTTCACTGGATTTCTTAGCCCTTGTTATGTTATATACAGATTGATAGAGGCAGATGTAGATTCATATGGCTATTAATATAGATACGGACCCCCATATGACTCTTAGGATGTCCTTCAGCATAAATCAGTAACTTCATTTTAACTTGATCTCTGAGTTGCAGGCAGTCCAGATAGTCTGCAACAAGAAGATTTAATGTTGTGTTTGCTAAAGTGTGTCATCACCACATTTTTGTAGCACAATCTAAGATGTGTAAACAAAGTCAGCAGGATGCATATCCAGCTGCCAGATGATATTCTTCACAGTTCCAGGTTGCAAGAACAGGCTTGCCCTGGAATATCTTGGTATTGTGTGTGTGTGTGTGTGTGTTTTAAATTCTGTTGCCATGAAGAATTGGCCAGAAGTTAGAGAGAGCCAGGCAAAGCACTGGGTGACCCTGCTAGATTTTTAAGCATAGGCCTCACTGTGTGCTGTGTGCTGTGACCTGTGCCAAGGCAGGAGAAGGCTACATGGAGCTGCTTGCTGCCAAACACATGTGCCCAAACCTGTGCGTACAGAGAAAACATCTGGGGAGGGAAGCATCTGTAGGGAACAAACAATGATTGGGAGGGTTAAGCATCCCCATCCATCTGCTAGGATGGTCTTATGGGGAAAACACATGGATGAGCAGCCTGTGTTTGTCTTGTAGTGTATAGTTTTGAGGTAGCCAGTGTTGTGTCCTGGGTATCCTGGGTGACAATTCCCATCGTCCCTGACTAGCTGGAGCTGATGGGAATTGTGGCCTGCCATATGTAGAGGACACCATATTGCCAATCCTTGGTTTATTTCCATCCTCAGTGATATGGCTGTGTGGACTGTTGCTGATGGAAGTTGTAGTTCAAAACATCTAGAGGGGCCCCAGATTGGGGGAGCCTGTTTCAAAGGATATGAATTTCTGAAAACGTCTCTTTCTGTGCTATATTTTGCCTCTCTTATAAGCAGCTTTGCAGTTCCAAGAACTTTCAAGTGACCTGAAGGAACCTTCCACCAAAGTGCTAAAAGCAGAAGTGTAGGTTTCTGTTGTTTTAAGTCTTGAAATAGAATATTCATAATGAATACCATAGGTTTCCAGGTTACCTCTCCAGACGGTTTGAACGCCTGAATTTCAAACTTTGCTGTGCTGAAAGATATTACCAAACATCTTACAATAATCTTCTTACAACCCTCATCGTCTGGGACAATTTTAGGACATACAAACCTTATGCATTTGTGTTTTTCTTTTCTCCCCCACCTCCTTGCCTTTCTTTTCCTTAATCCTCCCAGGAATCTGATAAAAAAGGCTTGATAGAAAGAATCCACATGGTTCAAGACATTGTTATAACAGTCCAAACACTTTTGGAGGAAATCGCATCTTTTGCAGAGAGGATAAAGAAGTAAGTGAAAGTGTTGCTCCCATGCTCTGAAATGTTTCTGAATGCCATGACTGAAAACAAAAGATTGAACTGGGAAGTGCTGGAAGCAAATCTCAAATGGCAGAAAGCTCATTTATTACACTGTGTTTTCAGTTCACTGGTGACGACACCCATCGTTGGAACAATTTATTCATTTCTCTTTCGGTCTCTTTCATGCAAATTATGCATGGAAGCTTCTGAAAAAGCATGCTTTGGTTTATCTCTGGACATTGTATCCAGCCTCTCTGGAAATCGTTTTGAGACCTGTGCTCATGGATTTTCCAAAACTACCTCTCTCTCCCTTGCCTTCAGCAGAGGAGCACAAAATGATATAGCAGTAAGCTCCAACATTGCCTTCCTTGCCCCATCATTATCAATAGGGGCAGCTGATCTGAGTAAGTATGTTGTGTGTGTTCACTGGCACTACCTTAGCTCTGCAAATCTCATCCTCTGTAAAAATACCCTGTTCCAGAAGCAACTAAAGGCTTTATTTGGGAAACTAAGACAAGGCGGAGTCCCTTAGACTGATTTCAGGATAGTTCAGATGAACTGAGACCAAATTATTGTCTTGCACTTCTGAAATGCTATCTCACGCCTGCACAGGCCTGGTTCCTAACAGTGACATCCCTCTGACCTTCCCTTGTGTTTCTGTGTTACTATTAAACTACTGAGCCCTACTGGAAATGGGAAACAGAAGAAGAGTCTTGCTGACTCGAGCCAAACGCCCAGCCTATCAAGTCCAGCATTCTGTGTGCATAGTGACAAACCATATGTCTCTGGGAAACCCACAAGCAGGACTTAAGTGCAACAGCATGCTCTCTCCACTTGTGATTTCCAACCAGCAACTTGTAATCAGAGGCATGCTTCCTCCAACAGCAGAGGCAGATCATAGCAATCATGCCTGGTAGCTATGCATAGCCTTATCCTCCATGAATTTGTCTTATCTTCTTTTAAAGCCCTCTAAGTTGGTGACCATCAAGTTGGGAGGAAGAGTGAAAAGCAAGCGACCTTGGTTGCCTTTTAGTTACACCTACTAATTTGCTTTAATCCAGGGATGAGGAACCTGGGGTCTTCAGATGTTGCTGGACTACAACTCCCATCATCCCTGACTTACTGGATGGGGCTGATGGGAGTTAGACTCCAACCATATTTGGAGGGCTACAGGTTGTCCACCCCTGTTTTAATTCTTTACATATGTACCATCCCACATTTTTTCCAAGGATCTCAGAACATCTTACGTATGGTTCCCACTCAGTCTGTCATCCTTCCAATTTACAGCTTCCAGTCCTGCTTAGCTTCAGTGGCAAAACCGTGTAATATACACTGGGCCACTCTCTGGCATGGTTTATCCCCCAAGAAGCAAAGAGTGATTACATCTTCTCTCTCTCTCATGCACTGGCACAACTGTGTGACCTTCCTCTTTGAAACACACAAATTGAGGCTTGTCAACAGTTCCGCTCTTTAAAAGAACAGCCGTGTGGGGTCTAAAAATGCAACAGATCCATGTGTGTTGTTATTCTGCAACATCTGCCCCAGCTGTGCGGGAAATGGCCAAGGGATGGCCTTGCCTGTGAACAGAGGGCTGTGTTCTCCTTGCAGCTGGATGGCAGGAAGGCTTGGGACGCCGGGTGACCCATATTCATTTTGATTACAATGATCCCTAAGAATTCACTGGGGCATTAATATGGCTGCCATCTCTAATCCTCCAGGAATCCCATTGTAACTCAATATTAAAGTTGCTAGGGACTGAGAGGGAAGGGGGAGAAGTCCACCAGTGTGGTTTTAGCGAGTGTCATGACGGTTTGGATAAGCGCTTCCATCTGCATAACCCTTCCTATCAAAGGGATCTTTAAATAGCTCTGTTCTGTTGGGGTTGGCAGACTTAAAAATATTTTCCATGTGTTTGTGGGCAAGTACGCTTTACCCCCTGCTTTAATTCAAATTGTAAGGCCTTCATTGAAGCTGAGAGAGGCATTATTTCCTCTCAGGCCCCCACCATACTTCCTTAAACAAAAAAAGAAATCAATAAAGACAAAGTGTTCTTCATGACTCAATTGGTGCTCCTCCATTTCAGCACATCTGATTGCAGCAACATCAGGCTTTGAAGATGTTTACATTGCATCCCTGTCTGGCTCTTGGGACTCTCCCTAGGAGATTCCCTCTTCCCAAGATACACCTCTCACCAGGCTCTCCCTACACCAGGAGCAGGGAACCTTTGACCCTCCAGCTGTTGCTGAACTACAACTCCCATCATCACTGACTGTTGGCCGTACTGGCTGGGGCTAAGGGGAGCTAGACCCCCAACTGTATCTGGAGGGCTACTTTGTCAGGCCAATAACCCATATAGTCCAGCATCCTGTTCTCACAGTGGCCTACCAGATGCTCACAAACAGAACCTGAGCACAAGAGCTCCCCTCTTGCAATTCCCAGCCACTGGTATTCAGAGGCAGCCCCGTCCCATGACACTAAAGCTAGCATATTCCTATTGTGGCTCCATAAATTTATCTGTCCCCCCTTATAAAGCCTTGATTGTGCTTGTACCCCCAGCAAGTGCCACACATCAAAGCAACTCTCATGGAAACTGATAGAAGCAGGGTCTCCTTCAATTTCCAGCAGGGCTTTTTGCTTAGCTGCTATTGTGGGGTGGAAACAAAGGGTCACTTCCTCTAAGAAAATTCATTGTAAGGGATGGGTTTGCCCTCCTAGCAGCAGTTTTCACTACCGGTAGTAGATTGGTCCCTGCAGAGATGGACCAATGGAGAAGTCATCTCCATCAGAGTTGTGTGAATACAAAAGTGCTCGTTCTTTGATGAGTACACAATTAGACTGCTTGGGGTGGGGGAGAGATAACATTGGAGGTGCACATGAGGATGCCACTTTTCCTAGGAAAGTGAAGATGTTACTTCATGCTTGTTTACTAGGCCATACCTGGAGATGGTAGGGACTTGCCTTAGCGGCAGCTATAACAACTAGATTTAACCCAAATGTGTGAACTGGCCTTGTGTTTGAGTCTGCATGTGGTGCTGTTATCTGTGGTGGCCTTTTCACATCTGCACGTCATTGAGCAAAGCTCTAACATGTGCGATTCAGCTGTATATCTCATTGGTTTCCAAGGAAATGAAAGTCAGAACATGTAGCCTTCACTTTTGCATTCCAGTGGCATTCTCTTGTTGAATGGAATACCATTCGAGTCATGGTTGCATTTGCAAAATGTGAAATATCTGTGAACACTAAACAACAAACTTCTCTCTTCTTGATTTTTCCTGTTTTTCCACAGCACATTCAACTGGACAGTTCCTTTCCTCTCTAGCCTGGCCTGTTTAATCCTTGCAGTAGTCATGATCACCCTGTATTACATACCACTAAGGTACATCGTTTTAATCTGGGGTAAGTTGGTCATCATACATTTAAAGCACTATGGTACGGAAGGAAGTCAAAGCTCATTTTGAGCAAATAATATAAGTTGTGAATATGTGTATTGAACTGAAATGAAATATGGAAAACTCAATAAAAATTATGATAAAAAAATAAAGCACTATGGTACCACTCTGAAGAATGATAGCCTCCCCCTTCAGCTATGGGAGCTGTAGTTTGTAAGGGCTATGTGAGTTGGTAGGAGCCCCTTATTCCCCTCACAGACCTACTCTTCCCAGAGTTCCATGGAAAGAGGGACTGCTTGTTAAACCACTCTGGAAATTGTAGCTCTGTATGTTGTCACTGAAATATGCAGTTTTGTGCAGTTTCCCCTTGAATATATATGGTTTTGTATACTTTATTTGGGCTAGAAAACCCCATCACAAATTCAGAGATGTGTGAATATTGAAGGATAACTGTATTTCAATTTGTATATGGCTTTGGACATTGCAAATTAGGTAAAGGTAAAGGTAAAGGTACCCCTGCCCTTATGGGCCAGTCTTGACAGACTCTAGGGTTGTGCGCCCATCTCACTCAAGAGGCCGGGGGCCAGCGCTGTCCGGAGACACTTCCGGGTCACGTGGCCAGCATGACAAGCTGCATCTGGCGAGCCAGCGCAGCACACGGAAACGCTGTTTACCTTCCCGCTGGTAAGCAGTCCCTATTTATCTACTTGCACCCGGGGGTGCTTTCGAACTGCTAGGTTGGCAGGCGCTGGGACCGAGCAGTGGGAGCACACCCCGCCGCGGGGATTCGAACCACCGACCTTTCAATCGGCAAGCCCTAGGCGCTGAGGCTTTTACCCACAGCGCCACTCGCGTCCCCATGCAAATTAGGTAGGTCTGCATTAAAAATGTGAATCAAACTGAATTCCTGCCCCCATCCCTAGCCTTGTCAATTGCGAATGGCCCATGAATTTAAATTGCCACTCTCCCTAATGAGAATGCACAGAATGGAAGGGGACACTCACAACTTGGTATATTTTGCAATGGGTCGTCCCCTCCCCAAGGCCAAAATGTAGCCAGAAATGCCACCCTTAAGTTCTGAGTGATGGCTGTTCTTGCTTCTCTGCTCCCCACCCTTTTTTGAACAATGGGACTTTTCATTGCAGAGACAAGCCGGCTTGCTTTGTAATAAACCTCCCACCACTTCCTTTAAGGAAAGATGTTTGTGAATGATTCCACATGACAGCAACACGTGTCTGGCTTGTCTGTATTTTCGCACTAATTTTTTCTTGTTAAACTCCTCCTTCCTTTCCTGCCTGAGCAAGTAAGGCTTTTTATATAGTGTGATGTGTCTGTTTTATCACCGCCTTTTTTAAAAAAACAAAAACAAAACCATGTTTTATGTTGGTGTTTTCATTCGCAGGCATAAATAAATTTACTAAGAAGCTTAGAAACCCTTATGCCATTGACAATAATGAGTTGCTCGACTTCCTCTCCAGGGTGCCATCTGATGTTCAAAGGGTAAGTAATGAATGGCTGCGTCCAACAGAGACACCAGCCCAAAGAGCCACCAGGTGCAGCGCTGGAGGAACACACGGAAGGGGCATTTGGGCTAGAGGAGATAAGGCATCTGAAGAAACCATAAACCAGGGTGGGAAGGGAAAGGAGGAGGCGGACACAGGAAAAGGGAGGGATGAAAACCCGAATGGAAAGGAATTGTATCCCCCAAAGCGCTCTCTTTCTAAAACGCTCACAGACCCACTTCTCCCAGCCACCTTCGCTCTGATTTTAACATTATTTCGTTTGGGCTTCCCACGCTTGAAGCGCCTGCCTCACTCTGTGTCATGGGCAGGGCAGCCCTGAACTGGTGTCTGAATGGTTCAGCAAGACTTTACAACAGCATTGACCCTTAGACGCTGTTTAAGTTCTGCTTTAAGCAGCAAAACATCTCTGGCTCCTGGTTTGTTTTAAAAGGCATGTGAACTTGACATCCTTTTATGCCATTTGACGAACAGCTCTTGACCAGAAGCATCAAGGTCCAACAGGCTAGTCATTAGAGGAAACCCTCTGGGCAGACAGAATCCCAGTTTATCTTTGTTTGCTTCTGCCCAGTCTACAAAGTCATTAAGCTTAAGTGTATTTTCTGCTCTCGCTGTCTGCACCAATTCTTTCTTGTAGAAGATGCAGGATTTGTACTGGCGGCATGCATTAATATTTATATACAGAAATAAGTTGCTTTCCTGTTTTTCTGTTTAGGTTGCATTTCAGGTTTTGCATTTATGGATTTTGCTTGAGTGGTTTCTCTTATCCTTGGTGGCCTTTGAGCAGGGGCAGTGAACCTCAGACCTGGGGGACAAATGTGGCCCTCCAGGCCCTTTTATCTACCCATTTTCCCCAAAGCTTGGACTTCTTGCAATTATGATGGGGAAATTCACTGGCAAGTGTGTGATAACTTTTGCCCTGATGCAGCAACATCTAAACTCCCTATCAACAAATCAAAATGAATATTCAATAAACAGGTCATCTGGAAGCACCCTAACAGAGGCAGACAGTTTACCATTGCCTACCTTTTAGAAGACATCTGAAGGCAGCCCTGTTTAGGAAAGTTTTTAATGTTTGAGTCTTAATTGTGTTTTTAATACGCTGTTGGGAGCCACCCAAAGTGGCTGGAGAAACCCAGCCAGATGAGTGGCATATTATTGTTGTTGTTGTTACCTAGAATTGTTGCATACATTTCCTAATCCTTCCACAAACACAACATTCGGTGGTGGTTCTGTTTTCGATTTGTTGTTTTTTTAAAAGTGTGGAGCTGGAGAGAGGAAGATGTCATTATTGTGTTTTGACCTCGATAAATTCTAGATGAGTAGCTGTGTAAGTCTGTCGCTGAAGCATAAGACAGAGAGTCTCATGACACTTTAATTTAAATGCCAATAAGCTTATTTTTGGAGGAGGTTTTGTACACAGAGGACCACTTCATGAAATTCATGAAGCTAAATATGCATAGACTCAGGTCCAACTGGGTTTGGGAACAACTGTTTTGCAAGCTGAGACCTCCAGGTATAGGGCGGTATATTAATTAATTTGCTTAATTAAATATGAAATTTAAAGAGAGTGGTTGTATGCTTTGAAAGAGAGATTCTGTACACAAGTCAATCTGTCAGAGTGAACACAGTCCAGTCACAAAGGGTCAACAGAACCAGGAACATCCAAGTTTAGATAAAGTTTGGCTTTACTGTGTCAAACCAAAACTAACTTGTATTAGTGACCTTGTGGCTTGCATTTAATGAAATAAGGTTTTGTTCAGACATCTTGCTTTGGGTTTCCTTTATTGTTATTGTTGAGTATGTTATTGTTGAATATGCCTGAGAGTGATATTCAACCAAATCATTGTGCGGGTGCAAAGATTATCACTAGCACTAATGTATCCCACTTTGCACCCCCACATGTCTGCCCTGCACCATCCCCAAATCTGCTCTGGGGGTTGGGGGAACCCCAGAACAGATTTAGGGGGCCTACAGGGGAAGGAGAAGGGAAGAAAGTTCCATTGCACAGCAATAATTCCTTGTGCTGATAGAACACTTCCCTTAGCACTGCTTTGAATACAGCTGTTTCTCCATAATGGATGGAAGCAAATAAGAAATGATTTGAGTATTGTAAACAAATGTAGACACTATGTTCTCCAAATTCTGAAAGAACTACACACTTACCACATGACATGGTGGGAGGGGGGTCCCATTCCTTTATCAAACTCCATGAAAGAGAACTAAAAATAAAATGGAATGAGGCCTTTTCTGCCAAATGCCAAAGTCAGGTGGAAGACCCCTCTCCCCGCCTCCTGCTCAGTTGCATCTCATTAGGAAAAAAAAATCTGGTTTTAATATTTTGGTTTTCAAGAAATGATGCATGACTTCTCAAATCCTTCCTGCAATTAATCCCCCATGTTACTGTGTTTAGAAAATGATTCATTACTTTTGAACCTTCCTTAGTTTTTCCCTCGGCTTTTCCTTGGGGAGCCATTAATGCACAGCGTAGTGAGCTTGGGTTACCTTGTTGCAAACGTGACGTCTGTTTGTTTTTACAGGTGCAACGTGCTGAATTGAAACCATACAGTGGCTCTAGTCCCATTAGGAAGAAACGGAGCGCTCTGTAGGATATGAAGCTTGGAATGCGTCGTGCGCGCGCACACACACATAGACACACTCCGTTGCAAATGTACACGCAGGATCTCCCCTGCCCTCTCCTGATCAGTCCAGCGCTGTGGTCCCTGCCTTGTGTCCAAGATGTTTCATCTGCAAGACATGCATCAACATATATAGATATATCTTGTGTATCTGACGCTTTTTCCAAGCACATTGATATGCTCCTGTAAGAACCAAATGAAAACTGGAGAAGCTGGAATGGCTTTCAGTGTGGATTTTGGAGTCGAAACCATACAAGGGACTTCCTCTGATTTTTGTATCATAGAAAAACAATCTCTCTCTTTTTGCTTTGCACAGCAGATCAACAAAGCTGATATGAAATGTTCTGGGTTACTTTACTTTTTAAAACATATCCAGCAGATTGGCATCGAGACAGAAGAAAAGAGTCATTGTTAGGCCAAATGACAGTGTGTAGATGGTATTCAACTCTCAATTAGTGAGTCTTTGATGCCCAACTTCGGCTTTAAGCAATGTACAGTTTGAAAAATTGTTCTATCATAATTACGAGAAATTGCTTAGTGCTGTAGCAGTCTCAATTTTTTCTCACCCAGCAGTTGCTGCTGATGTTTATTCATTATAAACTGTTTGTACCTGCTGCTGTTCTTGGGAGGAGTCTTTTGCTGGCAACAGACTTCCTTCAATCAGCCACTCAACAGGAATACCAGAACGAAATCTTCTCTGGACCCTATGGATTTCTGATTTTACCTTCTAAAATTCCATCTTATCAAACACTTTGTCCCTTCCCGCCACACCTTAATCTAAAGACTTGCCAACACTACATATGCAAAGTATTTTTTATAACCTTATATGCATTGATTTGCATCATGCCAAAGGAAATGCTATAAAAAAATGCCTGTGATTTTTTTATTTTTTTTAAATGAGCTATTTTAAAAATGTGCAATCTGGATGGTGGTTGTGTTGCATTATACATTGCTAGTTGCATTTAGAGGACTGAAGTGACTTTTGAGTTCTAGTCTGTCTTGCAAACAGGGGAAATTATGCCTGAAAAGCAGAAGAGAAGAGAACATGGTTGTGGAATCCAGAGTTGTGTGTGTTCATCAAATCCCCTGAACGTATTTTAGTTATTCCTTTGATGCCACGCATTGGTCAAGAGTGGAGACGGTGAAACTTTTCCAGCTAGTGGGCTGGATTCTCAGGTCACTCGACACCCACAGATCATTTTGACAGGTGGGCATGGCTGCAGAACCTGCCAATCACCATGATGTTGGGTGAAGTGCTTCCATTGTCAAGCTGCATGGGCAAAGGCACTGATGACCAGCTGATTGGCAGAGCTCTGTAAGGACCACTGATTAGACTGCAAACTCTACTTCCTTTGCCCATGCAGTTTGTCTTCAAATCATGTGGGTAAAGGCACAGGACTTTGCAACCACTGGCAGTCAGTGGATCAGCAGTGCTTCCAAGCCCTGTTTTGGGTAGGGAGCAAAATCTTTACCTGACCAAAACCTGATCATAAGACAGGTGACCATAGTTGAGAAAAAAGCATTGTGGGTGAATTAGGACGCCCTGCTGGGCTTAATTAGGCTCATAGGCTGAAGGTTCCCAATTGCTGGTTCCCAAGAGCAGCCTTTAACACTCTAGGATGGTTCCCAGGTGTTGTTAGACTACAACCCCTGCTAGAGTTGCCCAGGGACAATGGGAGTTGTAGTTCAGTAATTGAGGACTGTGGTTGAGGAAGGCAAATCTAGAGGCATAGTTCTTGCGTTGTATATGAAAAGGCTATAATGATTCAGTTCCCAGGCAAGCCTTGTCCTTCAAGAGGAAAGGCAAGAGGGAACATGACTTTTTAAAAAGTTGTTTTTAAAAAACAAAGAACTCTGGTGGGGATGGGGGGAAATGGATTCTGTTTGCCATTAAAGGTGAACCTACCTAATGTGCACTTTCTAAAACAATATCCATACTGAAACACAGGCAGCTTTCAGAATTTGCATTTCTCTGAATACAAAAATGCATATATTAGGGGAAGGTGGGCACATGAGTGCATATATTAATGAAAATAATATACAAAAATGCCTTATACTGGGGAAAATTGTTTGGAAACATGTGTATATTTGTCAAAGCTGCATAGAAAAATGTGTATGTGTATATATTAGGAGAAACACTGGTGAATAAGGTTTTTTTTAAAATTGCAAATTGCTGCTGAAAGTTGGAATCAGAATATAAGATGGTTAAAGCAAGAAAACCAGGATTGACAGATTTACGCATTCCTACATGAGATGGCGGGATGCGGGTGGCACTTTGGGTTAAACCACTGAGCCTAGGGCTTGCCGATCAGAAGGTCGGTGGTTCGAATCCCCATGACAGGGTGAGCTCCCGTTGCTCGGTCCCTGCTCCTGCCAACCTAGCAGTTCAAAAGCATGAAGTGCAAGTAGATAAATAGGTACTGCTCTGGCGGGAAGGTAAACGGCATTTCCATGCGTTGCTCTGGTTTGCCAGAAGTGGCTTAGTCATGCTGGCCACATGACCTGGAAGCTGTACGCCAGCTCTCTCAGCCAGTAAAGTGAGATGAGCACCGCAACCCCAGAGTCATCCTCGACTGGACCTAACGGTCAGGGGTCCCTTTACCTTTACATGAGATGGCAAGTGTGGAATGTAATATCCTTTATGCCCAATATGTGAGATTCCAATGTGGGTTTCTCCTTGACTAGCTTTGGAATACTGGTCTAAATGGGTCTTTCTCTGATCCTGCAAACCAATTATTCCATCCTTAAGTTCCTGTGAAGCATCGGAGTGAAGCAGGTGAAGGAACATGACACTGGGATGAGGACAACTGTGGAAAGTTTCTTAGCAGAGGATGATTGAATTCCTTCAGTTGATCCAAGACTGGTTCACTGAAAGCTGGGGGGCGTGTTACAAAGACAGCAGGTCTCCAAATCCATATCTGAGAACATTTTTGCCTTGGATAGAAATATCCTGGGTCTTGATATCCATTTGTTATTCCTAGACCCACATGCATAATGCATGCCATGAAAATTCATACCAGATCACCTGATGTTGGATCCACTTGCTTTCCATCAGATGTATCCAGTTACTCTGAGCAGCTTTCTGTGGGTTTGGTTTATGGAGATTCCTTTTTTATATATATACAGAAAACATTTTGATGGCACAATAAATATCAACGTGGAATATATTTTATTTCAAAGTAAAGGGTCATCTTCTTCTTCTTCTTCTTTTTGCATGAGTTAAGGGTTTTATTTCATCCAAATCCAGCCAAGATGTGTGTATTTGTGTGTTTGCCTCTATATCTGTGTTCATTTGCAATCTGATCCAGTAGTGCCTTATGGGGGAGAAGCAGAATATGTATGGATTACCCATTGACTTCAGTAGAGGACAGTTCTCCATTTGTATTCCACTGAAGTGAATGGAGAAGGCTACTGAAATGTAATAATCCTCATAGAGAGAATATGCATGGGGAAATATGGACTTTGTCAGACTGGGGGCATAAATTGAAGGGCAGTGTTTATTTGTTTTTCAAGAAAAAAAAATCATTTTGAAAAATCCCAAAGCCGCATGAGGATGAGGGAGTTGCAAACAGGATGTAACTTAAGACATGTCAGTCTAAACATCAAGGAGAGAGAAGTAACCTGGTGAGTTAAAAGGACGGGGATAGTACAAGAATGTGGAGGTCCCTAACTCTTATCAGTCTTAAATCATGCATACCCATCTTATAAAAGATGCGTTGCACAGAAACGTCCAACAAGGGAAGACCCAGCCATGGTGATAATTCTTCACGTATTTGAAAGAATTGCCATTGGCAATTTTTGTGGATTTCTACTGCAGTTCAGTACTTCTGAATCCTGCTCAAAAACTGTGGCATCCATATTAAAAGTCTGCCAATTATTTTTTTTGACAAATCTGTGGAGTGTTCCACCTGCAACACAATGGTTTTTTCTTCTTCTTTTCGTGACGATCATACATTCTTGCGATATCTGTGTCCTTGCAAAGCTTTGATGTGAAAATGTTGGTATTTTGGCATCTCTTCAAATTCCATAATGTTGTGCAGAGATAAATACTGCAAGCGCCATGCCATACTACGGATACATTTGTACAACTATGCAACCCGTGATAAACATCACCAGAATGGCAACAACCGGGACTACAAATCTCACGATGCATTGTGCTCTCACATAACATGCAGCTGACAACATTGAAGGAAAGGTACTGAAACAGAAGCAGTGAAAATTTGAAAAAGCAGAAAGAAATATCTATGGAGTTCAGCTGAAATTTGAATGGCTACTGCTAAATTTGCTTATCATGGTTTGGAAGGCCAGGTGACAAATTTTGAGAAGCCTAAATTTGGTCTACTCTCCAAGCACACTTTTAAAATGTGCTGAACTGCGGGAAACATTTTTTTCAGCAAATTTTCCCAAAGAGCACCTGTGCAACGAAACAGCAAAGTCCTCAGAGGCATCACACGGTGGCAAGTTCAACTGTCATATGGTTTAAGCCTTGCTTTGATCATAATCCTTTCCCCTTCTTCCACTTTCTCTCTCTCATCCCACCCACCAATATGTCTTAAGATCCCTTGGGCACATCTCAAACAGAGCAAGCTGCTTTCTAAGAAACAGAAAAGACTGGGGGGCGGGGTGAGTGAGGTGGAAAAGGAAGAAGGGAGGGGGGTTTGTTTCCTACCATTCCTGGCAGTGGATGACTTTACTGAAAGTCAAAGCCATCGGCTCACATTTATCACTGCCAGTCTTCCTCTGCATATTTTTTTGGGGGGAGGGAGGGGGGTCTTCGCCATGCACTGTTAACGGTGATTGTCATGTAATTAAATCACTGCTCATCACGAGAGCCTATTTTTATGCTGAGATAAGCATCAGAAGTCTGCAGCAACGTCCCCCAGATCAATAAAGATGTTCCCTGTAGGATTACAAATAGACTGGGGTTGCGCAGGGCACTAGAATTAATTAGAAATTATTTCTCTTTTTCTTCCCCCCCCCCACTTTCTACTTTCAATACATTTTTAATTGTTTATCCATTTTCAATGGTCCTTTAGGGGGGGGGAAATCCTTCTTGGTAGCGATTTTGTGCCTATGATATCCTAGGCCCTGGGCATTTTCTTGCCCAGGATGGGGCGAAGTGCAGTCCAGTGAATAAGATATGAGTAGATTATAAAGTCAACAGTGGTGGCTGCTGTCTCCTAAAATTGAAGATGCCATAATTCCCACTCTGCCAAGCCATGCCTACCTCAGCCCCAGTCATTCAAAGCTCCACCTCCTTCCTTTGTCCCAGCCTCCCCTCGGAGGCTCCTCTAATCAGCCTTGCTTACAGTCCCATCTACCATATCTGCAGAACAGGCCTTTTCTGCAGTGGCTCCCTGTTTATGGAATGTTCTCAGCAGGGAGGTTCGCCAGGCACCTTCATTATACATTTTTAGGCGCCAGGCAAAAATGTTCCTCTTTAACCAGGCCTTTAGCTGATTGACATCTAATGCCCATTTAAAATGTGTTGGGGGAGGTTATTGGGGGTTGTTTTTGTTTTTATTTTGATTATGTACTTTGTGTTTTTATATTGTGATTTTATGTTGTAACCACCCTAAGACCTGCAGGTATACGGCGGTATGCAAATATTAATAATAGTAATAATAACACTTTACATTGAGTGAATTGTGTTACACAACACAAAGTCATCTTGGTGCGGAACTGCAATCCCTGAATTTTTTCTCTCCATAGTGGGTCAAGATGGAGGAAACAATACGGACTGGAGCTGCTCAGTTATGAAACCTTGCCGATTCTGTCTTGGCAGAGTACTTTCTTTTTGCAAGGATGACTTTTGGTTGCAACCTTCCCAAGCAAAGGGGTAGCTGAAAAAATAACTTCGCTTTCTCCCTCTCCCTCCCCAGCCTTAGCTGTCAGGATCTTTTAGAAATAACA